CATCACTTTATCTTCAAGTGTTCCCCCTTGTACATATGTGAAGGCCTCTTGCCATCTAAGATCCGTTTGGGGGAAGAATTTTGAGTGCATTGCCTGCTAGAAATTTCACCATTTTACATTTTTGTGTATGCAGAAATAATCCATATGTTGCCTGGGTCCTGAGCTACGAAATTTCCCACTAAAAATTTCTCTTATTGGTACGTGAAAGCTGAATTTGAAACCTTGGACATACTCCTAAAATTTCAACTTCGTAGCCTAATTCCCGGAATAGCAATTTTCCCCACCAAAACTTTCCCGGCACCGTAAGTGACATATTTGCGAGATTGCACGCTTTACTAAAATTTCAGTTTCTTGGCTTCCGCGATTCCTGAGACAATAATTTCCCTCGCCAAAATTTTCACGGAGCCGTACGCTTGTACTGCTGTTACACAGCACAAAACGCATAATAAATCAGTGAATTTATTGATGAACTTTTGAATTTTTGAATAAATCAGCAGTGGATTTGTTGGGATGTATGCAGATTTCTTGCTTTATTCAGATTCATTTTTAAGCAATTTTGTCAGCCTCGGTGTGCATTCCTAAATTATTTTCACTGTGATGCGGCATGGTAATAAGCGAAAACGGGATGGGATGTTGTTTATGGAAATTTTTTAAATAAGCTGGTGTTTTTGTAGTAGCACATTTTTGCCTTCTTAATAGCGCTCCGGATGCTTTTCCATGGTTACCATGAATGAATCTGCAGCACTTATTACATCGTTTTTATGCGATTTTGCATATATGCAAATGTAAAAATGCATGTTGGTAAGAGGTTGTCTGTGTGTATGTCTATGTGGCCGTATTTTTTGTCATCTCGAGAACCAGAAAAGCTCGAATGCTGAAATTTTGGGGTAATGTTGCCTCTCCAAGCATAACTTAAATATTTCAGATTCAACCTCCAAGTATGCGTGCTTTTCACGTGCAGGCGCTTAAATGTTTTGGCCGGAAAATTGCTTAGTGAACAGCTAGACCTCATTTTCAAGATTACTAAACGGAAATTGTTCATTTTCCTTACGCAAAATTTATGGTGATTTACAAGTGAGAGCAAAAGCAATAACCATTCATGCAGTTAACGATCTCAGTACTTCAAGTCCGCTGCGAAAACTTATGATATGGCCTGGATCTTTCTTTCGTTCTTCCCGAATAAAATTTTCCTTAGTCTTTAGTATTTAAATTACATGTTCATCCCCAAACAATACGGGTAGGAGGCTGTACTGATGATTCCCACTTCTTCCCGCACTTGTGGCTGCGTTTGTGTTTACAGCTAAGAGATGAAACATAGACTGTTGCACGGTTTGTTTTTCGGAACAAGTAGTACTCTCAGATGCAGTGTCTGGATCTTCATATTATGTATATATTGCATTCTCATTCTTTTAAAA